AATTATAAATAGCGTTATTAATATGAAATTAAGTGTTATAACTTGTACAATGCAATTGTAGTTAATACAATGCATTTTATATAACATCAATATCACCATAGTAGTCCACACTGTTCATTGAGACAGCAGACCTTATTTGTTTTTTATCTTGTATTTTGGAAATGTACATCCAGGTTTTCTCCTTTAATTTTTTTTGGGGGCCCCCAAGAGAGTGGGGCCCTAAGCTATAGCTTGTTTAGCTTATACGTAAATCCGGCACTGGTGGTGCCTGGTCAGCTGAATAGTGTGAACCTAACAGGGCAATTCCGGAGTCAGCAATCTTAATAGGAGAAAAACCCACAAGCAACCTTGTGGCTAAAGGATCATCTCCCTGCTTTGATGCCTTCCGTTTGTGTCAGGTGTCAGGTGTTGGCTGTTTGGGTTTCCTGCTAGAGGATTCTTGTTGGCTTTCCAAAATTGTTGACAAGATCAGAAGAAACCAACAAAGCAAGTTAAGTGCCATGACCCCATGCAATCCTGCATTCCAGCATTAATTGAGCCGCTTTGCCCTGCTTGTAATTATTTGCCCATAAAGAAAATTGTAGTGTGTGCTTGTTAAAATGCTCAGTTTATTTAATTCAAATTGTCTGAATGTTTTTTCCCAGGGTTTAATGCAAGACAAGCTTAAAGTTTGCACAGGTTTGACTTAATCATTCCTCCTTGACTTTTCTTAACAAATATTTCAAATTTGTGAGTTACACAATTCTCAAGATTATACTTCCTACAAGGAGCAAACAAAAATTACACAGAAAGGGGTCTCTTGGGTATGCAATCCATTGTAAACAAGCAGAGCTCACACAGCTTTGCCACTGGTCTTTGCAGCCTCTAGTCTACGGGCAGAGAAGGACTGGTGTCAAAACTCTGTAGAACATCTCCCCTCCTGCTGAGTGAGAGGGGAGAGGCATTCTGCCACCCTGCTTTGCTGCCAGGCAGTCAGGGGAGATCTCCCTCACATACATCTGGTGGTGTGATGCATCTTTCCATTGGCAAGCAATCTCAGCTAGAGCATCCATGACAGATGGCCATCCAACTTCTGCTTAAAAACCTCCAAGGAAGGAGAGTCCACAGCCTCCCAAGGAAGACAACTCCACTGTCAAACAACTGCTACTGTCAGAAATTTCTTCCTGATGTTTAGTCAAACTCTTTCTTGTAACTTCAATCCATTGGTTTGAGTCCTACCCCCCAGAGCAGGAGAAAACAAGCTTGCTCCCTCTTCCATGTGACAGCCCTGGAGATATTTGAAGATGGCTATCATATCTCCTCTCAGTCGCCTCTTTTCCAGACTAAACATACCCAGTTCCTTTAACCGTTCCTCATAAGGCTTGGTTTCCAGACCCTCTGTCATCTTGGTCACCCTCCTCTGCACACATTCCAGCTTGTCAACATGTATCTTAAATAGTGGCACCCAGAACTGGACATAGTATTCCAAGTGTGGTCTGACCAAGGCGGAATAGAGTGATAATATTACTTCCCTTGATCAGGACACTATATTTCTGTTGATGCAGCCTAATCCCGGATTCCAACCCTACTATCCAGTATAAAGATTTAATTCTCTTTCTGCTGGTAGTCGCACATTTAGTGATAGGGTATCACTGGAAATCCCGGGTGGAGCTATCTCTTGAGACATGGTTCAATAATATTTGGGATATAGCTAGTTCAGAATGACTGCTGGGCTTAGAAGAGTTGCAAATGGTGTAATAAAGGGAAATACCTTTGGTGAAACCTGGTCTCCCCTTTTTTTATTTGTAAAGGAAAAGGAAGTAAAGCTCTTCCATCAGCCTCACAAACCTGTCTTTGGAGAACCTATATGGACTGCCAACATTTTAAGATCATGTAAAATTGACACCATAAACTTAATGCTATGTTCTTTTCTTTCCAGTGACTGTATTGTATAATAAATATATATATGTATTTTAAAAAGAACTAAGTCCCTCTGAATTCAATGGGATTTTCTCTCTGGTATGTTCCTGATCATTCTCAAAGTTTCTGTTGTTGTTGTTGTTGTTGTTGTTTTCTTTTTCCCCCTGACAGGGACTCAAGAGCCAGTGTGGTGTATTGGTTAAGAGTGGTGGACTCGTAATCTGGTGAACTGGGTTCGATTCCCCGCTCCTCCACATGCAGCTGCTGGGTGACCTTGGGCTAGTCACACTTCTCTGAGGTCTCTCAGCCCCACTCATCTCACAGAGTGTTTGTTGTGGAGGAGGAAGGAAAAGGTTCAGGTAGTGATAAAGCAGGATATCAAATCCAAATCCAAACTCTCTTCAAGGCAACTCACAGCTACAATTTTGAAGGTTGAAGGTGTTTCACATGATTCCTTCACTCACACATTTTTTCTTTTCAACAATCTTGCGAGGTAGATTTGGCAGAGAGGTTGTAATTGGCTCAAGGTGGCAGGTGTATATGACGCATATCTGGGTGGGAGATCAAACATGGGAGAAGCTTCCTGGTGTAGAATAGAACGTACCAATGTTCATCTGAGAAATGTTGGAGGGTATGCCATGGGGCTATATGGGTTTTTGGTCTGAGCTAGCAGGCCTTTTCTTACATTTGTGAAGAGAATGCTGGGGTTGGAGAACCATAATGATGTAAAAGAGGCCAGCTGGATGAGTTGTAGCTTAGTGTTACCTTGGGTAAACTATTTCTTCCAGGCTACTCTCTCCTGACTTGAGAGAGAGACAGAGAGAGAGAGAGAGAGAGAGAGAGAGACTCTGTCATTAACTTGATGCTGCCTTGACAGCTAAGTTGTAAGTGATAAAGATCAAGTCAACAGAGCATCATTTTGTCCCTTGTCTCTTCTCTCTCTCTTTCACACATGCACACACACACAAACACATCAAGACAAGCTGCTGATGCACCGATTTGGGGAAATTAACATTAATCATTTTACATTTTGGGCAGGACAGGTTTCTTACCAGTATAATTAGAGTGCTCATTCTCTTAATCGGGGTTCTGATCTCTCAAAATTAGTTTGACAGAAACAAGCAAATTAAACAGCAGGTATGTCACCATGTTTAAGCTCCAGGGCACCCCCAAACACGTGGATTGTCTGGGTTTGATTTTGTTTTGCTGAGAGTGAGAAAAGGAAATGAATGAAGAGGCAAGATATTTTGTGTGTGGGCTTTGCCCCCCAGTAGATGTGCCCCCTCAAGATCTCCCACCCACACAATGCAAATTGGGTTTGTTTTATTTTATATTATATTATTTATTTTTTAAAAAATGAGTCCCTTTTATGGATGGCACAGATCACAATCAAAGGGAAGCCTACCTAAATTACATTGCTGAAACAATAAGCAAAGCATACTCCGAAATTTGCACTTCTCTCAATTTTGCAGTGCTGTTGTAAAACTGTGTATATTGTATGTAAGTTCAGAGCAACGCTGATGAATTTTCCTGAAGGCGCTTTTTTAAATGATGATGATGATGATGTTAATTAATAAATACTACTACTACTACTACTACTACTACTACTAATAATAATAATTTCACAACTTTATATACAAATGTGGATAACGGAACTTAACACTGGATAAAGGAGAGACTGAAATAGATAGCTTCACTTATCCCTAGAACCAATGAAGACTTACCAAGGGTAGACCCAGTGAAATTGATTGATTACTCTGATGGCCCTGAGTACCTTGTCCACTTATGTCAGTATGTCTACTATGATTAAGACTTATTTGAATAAAAACCAATAATCTCCCTTCCATCATACATCTCTGTTGCTGCCACATAATACCCGTTCCACAGCTGTGAGGATTCTGGGATGTTGTCAAGAATCCTTTATTGTCCCCTATGCTCCATCAGTGCTGATACATTGTCAAGATGGATGCTCTTTCTGACTTCCGTTATAGCTCACTGATCGAGTCCATGCTTTGCATGGAGAAGGTCCCAGGTTCAATCCTTAGAATGCCCAGGTAGGGCTGGGAATTGTCACCTGTCTGAAACCCTGGAGATGCCTGTCAATGTAATCAGCACTAAGCTATATGGACCTCAGTGTTCTGTCTTGGTAGAAAGCACCTTTCTACATTGGGAGCCAAGCTATGTTCCTCTGCGTCTAGAAAATGCATTGTTGATCTCTTCAAAATGGTATCCACTGAGTATTATATCTGAATGAACTTCAGCAAGGATATCAAGAGGTATCCATGTCTTTAATGGCACATGCCAAATACTCTAAGGCAAACATAAAGCATAGAGCTGGAGAGGAGCCAGACTATTTCAATGATTTCAATTATACTTTTGTATGTTTTATTTGCATGTGTGTCAATGGGTCTTTACTCTCCTCCTGCCACAAATACCAGTCTGGGTAGGCCAGCCAAGCAAGGGGCCCTTAGGCAGACTGTTCCCACAGCCTCAAAGTTTCAAAGAAAAATGTTTATAGAATAACAGCGGTACCTCGGGTTACATACGCTTCAGGTTACATACGCTTCAGGTTACAGACTCCGCTAACCCAGAAATGGTGCTTCAGGTTAAGAACTTTGCTTCAGGATGAGAACAGAAATTGTGCTCCAGCAGCACGGCGGCAGCAGGAGGCCCCATTTGCTAAAGTGGTGCTTCAGGTTAAAAACAGTTCCAGGTTAAGAACGGACCTCCGGAACGAATTAAGTACGTAACCAGAGGTACCACTGCCTTAGATCAAGTGCTCCCTTAGGTTCTAGTCAGGCCATTGGTTCTATCTCAGTATTGTCTATGCCGCTTGGCAGTGCTGCTTCAGGATTCTGTATGGTGGTTTCTCTCAGCCCTACCTGGAAAAGGTTAGGGGTTGAATCTGAGAGCTTCTGCATTCAAAGGATGTACTTGGCATTGGTGCTGGAAGGTGGCACCAAATAGGGAGAGTTCTGAGAGCCAGATAGAGAGGTTGAGATGGCTACATTTGCCCCTGAGCCTGAGATTTCCCCACCCTTGGTCTACACTGACCGGAAGCAACTATCCAGGGTTTCAGCATGGACATTCCCATCCCTACCCGTAGATGCCAGGGATTGAACCTGGCAACCTTCTGAATGCAGAACAGGTGCTCTGCCACTAAACTATGACACCTGGAATGGTGGGACACCAATGTTGATTGATAAAGATACATAATCGTTTCATAGCATTCCCCAGGAGGATCAGGTGATGGGGGGGGGAGAAAAAAAAGTACCAGAAATGCCCACAAGCCATTCTGGAAGGGAAGAGAAAACACTGACAAGTTGTTAATTATTTCCCTTGCATGCTGTGAGTAATAGCATTAACGAGATCTCATGATGCATAAAAAGAAATTTGTTTGCCGCTGATTAAAGCCTCTGAGTGTCATGGGGCGTTTCCTAACTGGCACTGCTTCTGGAAAAATGGTATAAAAGCTCATGCCATCCCAGGTTCTCTCTACAGCTTCACCTGGCAAACCTTCTCATTCATCTCCAGCTCCTCCAAGAGACAGGTAAGTCATCCTTAAGGGAAGGGCTGTAGCTCTGGGACAGAGCATCTGCTGTGCTGTTGGAAGGTTCCCAGATGAATGCCTGGCATCTCCAAGTAGGGATGGGAATGCCACCCTTTCTGAAACCTCAGTGAGGGCTATAGCTCAATGGTAGATCATCTGGAGCAGGGACATCATCTTAGGTTCCATTCCTACCCTAGACTATTGTAGGGGATGTGCCAATGATATACTGAGGCCAGTTAATACAACTTAATGAAGCTTTTGCATAGCGTATAGCTCAATTCTTTGCCATGTTTTCGCCACTATCCTCACTGAAACGCCTCAATAAATAGTCTGAACCTTGTATATGTTGCAAGCTTTAAGAAGAGCCTGTTGGATCAGGCCCATCTAGTTCAGCATCCTCCTGTTCTCACACAGGCCAATCAGATGCCTGTTGAAAGCCCATCCGTAAGACCCACATGCAATGGCACTATCCCCTTCTGAAGTTTCCAGCAGCTGGTATTCAGAAGCATGCTGCCTGTAACTGGTGAGGCAGAGCATAACCATCATGGTATTGGTCGTTAGATCATCTAGCTCAGAACTCCCTGCATCAGTGTTTCAACCTTGAGTCCACAGGTGTTGCTGAACTAAAATTACGTCCCTGCCTCTTTTCCCGGTTCTTCAGATACGGCAGTCAATTTCTGATACACCACTTCTCCCCTCACTCCATGGGAACAATTGTCAAGAATAAAATGTCCCTACTGGCCTCAAAAGACTGGCAACACCAGCTTCAGATCTAACCAGGGGGAAAATAAAGATGCTCAGTACATGGTCTGGTATATCCCTCTCTTGATATACTGTGCCACTGAGAATACATAGGGCTGTATTCCATGTTTCTCCATGTATTCCATGTTTTTTCCATGTAGACCCATTTAATCAATAGACATGTCGACTCAGATTGGTAGTTGGATGCAATGCAACCCATAATTTTCATTGCTGTTGTGAATTACAATGTTTCTTTGCTATAATATGTGCCTGCCTATGTCTTTCCAGACTCAACCATGGCTAACTGTGGACCTTCCTGCGCCGTCCCATCTTGTGCTTCCACCCCAGTCGTTGGTTTTGGATCAGCCGGCCTTGGCGGTGGTTTTGGCGGTGGCCTTGGCGGTGGATTGGGTGGTGGATTTGGCGGTGGATTTGGCTATGGTTCTGGCTATGGCTCCGGTGCCCTGGTTGGATCCGGCGTCCCATCTGCCAGTCTTGGTATTCTTTCTGGAGTCCAGCCTTCATGCGTCAACCAGATCCCACCAGCAGAGGTCGTCATCCAGCCACCTGCCTCCATCGTGACCATCCCAGGAGCCATCCTCTCTGCCAGTTGTGAGCCTGTGGCTGTCGGAGGCAACACCCCATGTGCTGCTGGAGGTTATGGATCCGGATTTGGCAGCGGATTTGGCGGCGGATTTGGCAGAGGGCTCTATGGTGGTGCAGGTCTTCTGGGGTCTAGCTCTGGTGGTTTGGGGGGCCGTGGCCGTTATGGGTTTGTGGGGCGTAGAGGCAGCATCTGCTATACCCCCTGCTAAGCTCTCACGGTCTGTCAAGAAGGAGGAAAGAAAAAGAGATCTGTGGTGGACTATTTCGGTCTGATTTTAGATATGCTGAGCACCCAAACTCCCTAGGCAATCCCAATGGGAGCTGGGAGAGTGTTCTGCATCCCTTGTAATCAGGCCCATCTAGAACCTGTAGCTGTTTTCAGTTTAATTTTATCTCACTTTCTCCTGCTTGTTACTATATTTATTTGCCCACGTCTCTTTGAAACACACCAGTTCGCATTGAGAAGAAAAGCACAAGATCCATTCACTGTGTCTATGAAATTAGCATGCAAGTGTAAATATGTCTAATTGGGACTTAATGTAAAGGAAGGTGGAAAGAATGCTCTATAAATGTAGAACCCTCTACTCTACCTCCAACCTGAAAAAAATAATTCTAAAGGAGAAGCTGTTCACTGGAATGTGTTCTTTTTTGCTTTATTGTCTTCCAGTATTCTTAGTATTCACTTGAATACTTTTACTGTTTGAAATTCCCAATAAAACTTTTTCTGCATCATAGCACTGGCTTTCTGGTTTTCCTTTTATGTGGCAGCACAATCCTATATCCGTCTACCAAGAAATAAGTTCCTTTCAATACAGTTCAATGCAACTCACTCAAAAGTAAGTCGTTTCAGGGTGACAGCCTTAAGAACATAACACATATCCTCTTGGACTGGTTCAAGCATCCACCATCCTGTTAACAGTGCAGCAAGTATTTCCAGAACTTGCCACCTAGATATCATCAGAACCCTTGAATGTTGGAGGAGGTGTAGGAGATATCATGGGGTTACTTACCAACAGAGAATATTGATAAGGCATAGAACCAAGAAATCCAGAGAGAAGCATCACTGTTATTTTAAGATGGTCTGCTCAGCAATAGGGGGAAATTTCAAATCTGGATTTGAGGAACAGTTAATGAACATTCCATTCATTTCTTAGATTCTGTATATCGAATTAATTTCCTGACACCAAATATCTATAAAAATTGACCACTGGTTTTTTTTAGTCTCAAAGGACTTATCCAATTGTTCTAGTACCTCTGATGTCTTAGATGCTAGGAAGGCTGCCAAAGGCCTGAGAGAAGAGGAATGTTCTTGCCTGGCACTTAAATATATGTAATGAAGGCATCTATTGAACCTCCTTGGGGAGAGCAGTGCAAAAACAGAGAACCACAAAAGAAAATGACCATTTTCTTGTTGCTGTCCTTCAGACCTCTCATGGAGGAGGTACCTGAAGAAGGGTCTCAGATGGTGATCAGAGGGACTGGGTCAGTTCATATGGGCAGAGGTGGTCCTTGAGATATTGCAGTCCTGAGCCATTTAAGGCTTTATTGGGTCAGGAAACTAATTAGCAGCCAGTGGAGTCAGGCCAGGATTGGTGTTATATGCTCAAACTGTCCTGCCCCAGTGAGCAACCCAGCCACCAAATTCTGTACCAGCCAATGTTTCTGAATTGTTTTCAGAGGTTTCTGCATTGCAGAAATCTAACCTAGTGGTAGAGGCAACAGAGGTTAGGCCAATCATGGCCAAACTTGGTTCTCCAGCTCTTTGGGACTACAATTCCCATCATCCCTGACCACTGGTCCTATTAGATAGTAGTAGTAATAATAGTAGTAATAATAATAATAATAATTATAATTATAATTTATTTATACCCCGCCCATATGGCTGGGTTTCCCCAGCCACTCTGGGCTACTTCCAACAGAATATTAAAATACAATAGTCTGTTAAACATTATTTGTAGTCCCAAAACAGCTGGAGGGCCAAGTCTGGCCATCACTGGGTTAGGCTATCCCTGTTCAGATAGGAGCACAGCTGGCTCACCAGACAAATCTGATGGAAGGCACTCCATGCCACCGAGGCCAACTGAACCTCAAGTGACAGCAGTGGAACCAGAAGGACCCTCCAAGCTATGTGTCTTTTCCTTCAGGGGCTATGTAACCCCATCAAGAGCAGGCCACCTCCCATCTATCCAGTCTATGGAACCACCCACTAACTGTACCTCAGATCTGGACTGAGTTTCAGTTTATTGGCTCTCATTCAGACAATTACCAAGGAAGAAAACTGCCCAGCACATCCAATGACAAACCTTGAGATATAAAAGAGAAGTAGAGCTGTGTGTCATCAGCATATTGCTGACGACCAGGGCCGTCTTAAGCATATTCGGCGCCGTGGTGCAAGGCTCCCCCTGGCACCTGCCCCGCCCCGTTCCCCAGAGTTGTGTCGACCTGGAGGGCGGCTCCTCCGGTGGGGAAGAGGCAAAGGCTGGGCGCGGCGCCTCCGAGCTCAGCTGGCCGCTTCGTGCCACAGTGGCCATGGCAGGCAGAGGCCGCCTCCGAGCTCAGCTGGCCGCTTCGTGCCACAGTGGCCATGGCAGGCAGAGGCTCCAGGCATGGTGCTGCTTTGGGGGAGGGCAGCGAGCTGATGCCGGGAGGCGCCATGTCCAGCCTCCACCTCCTGCCTGGTGCCCTCCAGAACTTGGCACCCTGCGCCACTAGCCTCTATGGGTAAGACTCCCCTGCTGACGACATACTCCAAAACTCCAGATAACCCCACTCAGCAGTTTCATGTGGATGTTAAACACCATGAAGGATAAAATCAAACCCTCCATGGGCCTGACAGAGCCAAAGAGCACTCCCCAAGCATCACCTACTGGAAGTCCAAGTAGGACCAGAACCACTGCAGAACAGTGCCACTCACGCTTAACTTTGGCTGGATCTAGACACATCAAAGAAGCGTTTCCATGAAATGCGTTGCAAACTTTGCATGAGAAATTGGGTTGGCAAAAAACAGAACTCCACAGCGCCATCTAGTGTCACAGTGTTAGAATGCATTGTTGTTGTTTAGTCGTTTAGTCGTGTCCGACTCTTCGTGACCCTCTGGACCAGAGCAGGCCAGGCACTCCTGACTTCCACTGCCTCCCACAGTTTGGTCAAACTCATGCTGGTAGCTTCGAGAACACTGTCCCACCATCTCATCCTCTGTCATCCCCTTCTCCTTGTGCCCTCCATCTTTCCCAACATCAGGGTCTTTTCCAGGGAGTCTTCTCTTCTCATGAGCTGGCCATACATACATGGCATAATAAGACAATGACCTATCCCCCACAACAGCATATGAATCAACAGCAGTTTTCATGACACATGAAGGAAGATAACGACACAGTAAATTTCAAAACAGTAACTATTAATTACACAACTGTATGGGAAATGCATCTGGAAGACAAAATGTATTGAGGAGGTAGTGATCTGACACAGAGTCCTTCCTGCCTCTGTTCCTTCCCCCTCCCTCGCTCTTGTTAAGTTTTTTGATGGTGTGAGAATAGTCTTTAATGTCCTGGTTGGGAGGAGGTGACCCCCCCCAGCTGCCTTAATCAGTTGGGAGGATGATGCTGGGTACCTTCTTTGATGTTGGACATTGTTTTGAGGAAGTTAGGAAATGGGAGGGGGTGGTTATAAAATTGGATGGTTTGGGCAGAGTTTTTTTGAAACTCATGCATGGATTGGTTGGCTGCAGGGCAAACTGAGGCTACCTGGAGGAGTCACTTCGCTGTTTCTTGAGGGCCTCCAAGTGGCAGATTGAAGTGCTTGCTTGCTGTTTTAGGATAAAATCTTTTAATCTTCTCACTCACTTTTGTAGTTTGCATTGCTTCTGAATCTCATTTTAAAAGAACCACCTTGCCTTTGGCAAGACAACAGCCTTTCAAAATCCTATTAAAACTATTTAGTTTAATTAATTCAACAACATTTATGAACTTGATCCAGGGATACCAGCTTTTTACAACCTGGTAATTACATCTCCAATGCCCCTCTGCTACCTGCTTGCCTTTTAGCACCTCCCTGGATTACCCCACTGCCTCCCTTGGGGTGATTCCACTCACTTTGGGAGTTATTGCTTTAGCATTGCAAGTTAGTGATTCTAACACTTGGAACAAAGAGGTGGGATGTTTGTGTTTGGCTTGCTAGGGATGCAACTTTAGAATATATGAAAGTGTACTGTAGCCTCTGTGAGAACTGGTCAAGCCTGGAACCACCTATCCAACCTCCATCTTACTTGCCTGAGGCTGCAATCCTAACCCTGCTTACCTGGCAGTAAGCCCCATTGAATTCAATAGGACTTAGATTGATTTGGTTAGGGCTGTGCTGTAATTTGAGATCAAGGTAGACAAAGGATGCGAAAGCTGTGGTCCTCCAGCTACTGAACAACTACATATAGTACCCACCAGTCCCAGCAAGTATGACTGTTGGTCCGGGGCTGATGAGAGCTGTGGTTCAATGACATCTCGTTGGCTGCAGGTACCTGCCTTAGACAAAAACAGTTACACCCAAAGGAGGTTGCTACAGAGGATGTGTCTGTACCATTATCCTTCAGGTCAAATTGGTTTATGGGCCGAAGAGGTAAGGCCTTTTCTATGATTCTACCAAATGATGGAAGACAATTTCCATTGAAATGAAAATTGTTTCAGCTGTGCATTTTTTTAAAAAAATAAAGCAGGTTTTAATTGGTATTGTTTTGCGTTACCTTTTCATAGAATCATAGAATTGTAGAGTTGGAAAAGTTCCCAAGGGTCATCTAGTCCAACCCCCTGCAATGCAGGAATTTCAGCTCAAGCATCCATGACAGATGGCCAACAAACGTCTGCTTCAAAACCTCCAAGGAAGGAGAGTCCACAACCTCCTGTGTGAGACTGTTTCACAGTCAAACAGCTCCTACTGTCAGAAAGTACTTCCTGATGGTTAGTTGGAATCTCCTTTATTTTAACTTGAAGCCACTGGTTGAAGTCCTACCCTCAAGAGCAAGAGAAAAACAAGTTTGTTCCCTCTTTCATGTGTAAACCCTTGAGATATTTGAAGAGGGCTGTCATATCTCATTCTCCTCTTTTCCAAGCTAAACATGCCCAGCTCCGTCAACCATTCTTCATAAAGCTTGCTTTCCAGACCCTTGATCATCTTGGTTGCCCTCCTCTGCACACATTCCAGCTTTTTCTTGAGGAAAGGGCTGGAGCTCAGTTGTAGAACATCTGCTTTGCATGCAAAAGGTCCGAAGATCAATCCCTATCATCTCTAGGGAATGCTAGGAAAAGGACTCCTGTCTCAAACCCTGGGAGATGCTACAGCCAGTGTAGACCATACTGAGTTAGGTAGACCAGTGGCCTGACTTTGTACAAGGCAGTTTCTTAATTATCTAACTGGGGTTATTTAAGGCTGGGTTTATTTAAATGGTTAAAGGTAAAGGTAAAGGTAAAGGGACCCCTGACCATTAGGTCCAGTCATGGCCGACTCTGGGGTTGCGGCGCTCATCTCGCTTTATTGGCCGAGGGAGCCAGCGTACAGCTTCTGGGTCATGTGGCCAGCATGACTAAGCCGCTTCTGGAGAACCAGAGCAGTGCACGGAAACGCCGTTTACCTTCCCACCAGAGCGGTACCTATTTATCTACTTGCACTTTGATGTGCTTTCGAACTGCTAGGTTGGCAGGAGCAGGGACCGAGCAACAGGAGCTCACCCCGTCCTGGGGATTCGAACTGCTGAGCTTCTGATCGGCAAGTCCTAGGCTCTGTGGTTTAACAAACAGCGCCACCCGCATCCTCATTTAAATGGTTAGTTGTTTTTAAATGCTGAACTTTTATTTGCTGCAATGCATGTCATTTTTTTGTGTCTCTTACCTGCTTTAAAGAATTCTTGAGCTTTTCTCATATGGTAGCTTGATATGTTTGTTTTAAATTTTCTGCTTATCTCCTCTTATAATATTAGAACTTGGGGCCAGCCAATGAAGTTGAATGTCAGAAGATCCAGGACAGAAAAAAAGCAATGACTTCTTCAAATAGGGCATAATTAAACTACAAAATTCTTTCACACAATGGTTAAGAGATGGCCAGTAAATTGGATTGCTATAAGACAGGATTAGACAAATTCATGGGGGATAAAGCCGTCTGTGACTACCATCCATTATGTCTATGTCCTCTTCCCACTGTTGGGGGTAGCCTATCTGTGAATACCAGTTGCTTGGAATCACAAGTGGGAAATGTTGCTGTTGCACTTATGACATGCTTGTGAGCTTCCCATTGGGTCAACTGTTTGGCCTGTGTGAGAACAGGGTCATTGACTAGATGGGCTTTTGATCTGATCCATCAGGCCTGCCCTTATCTCCTTGTAAGAGATGTTCCCCCAAGTGCAACTTGTGCGAAAGTGTATGCTTCCACTGATAAAAAAAGATAATGTCACAATGAGGCACCAAACCAAGAGAGTTGATTCAGAATGAACTTTAATGGAAATATGAAAAGCTTCAAGCAGGCAGTTGTAAAAGAAGCAGGACAGGAACAAGGCAAAGGCATACAGTATACAATGCGGCTTTGAACTTCTTCTTGGTCTGGAGGCTTTCGGGACACATAGTGGGAAAGCAGGAGAAAGGAAAGATGGCAGAGACTCGTTTAAATGCTGTTGGCTTAGATGACGGTCCCAGAAACTCAGATTTTCCAGAATCCAAGGTGAGACACTCAATAATGGATAGGCATGATCTTCACCCATTCAGGGTCATTCAAATCATTACCACACAGATTTTCTTCACAAGTTCAATAGGCCTAATAGCACACACTGCCACGACGCCACTGCAGAGCCCTCCTTCCAGAGAGCCCACCCCTCCTCAGACCATAGCCCCAAGAGCTTCCAAGGAGGCCATCCCCATAGCCCCACCCACCATAACCATAGCCTCCTACCAGCCCAGAACCACTAACAGCACATGGAGTGTTGCCTCCAACAGACACGGGCTCACAGCTGGCAGAGAGGATGGGTCCTGGGATGGTCAGGACGATAGGAGGTGGCTGGATCACAACCTCTGCTGGTGGGATCTGGTTGATGCATGATGGGGCAACTCCTGCCAGGACTCCGAGGTTAGTTGCTCTTTCAGCACCTCCGTAGCCGTAGCCGAGACCTCCATAGCCGAGACCTCCATATCCATTGCCAAGACCTCCATACCCATAGCCAAGACCTCCTGCTGATCCAAATCCAACAGTGGGAGTGGAAGCACAGGATGGGACAGCGCAGGATGGACCACAGTCAGCCATTGTTGTGTAGAGGTGAGTCTGAAACCAAGAAGACCATGGGACAAAATGAACATGTGGAATCCCACTTCAATGGGGAATGCAGGGGACATTTAAATCAGCTGCCTTTGACAGCTCTAACACTATGCCCTAATGCTTGGGTTCTTTATTGTCTTCTCTTTCTTTCACCACAGCCCCTCTCTTCATTGTGGGTCCCAAATCCAAATACTGGCAACTCCAGGAATGTCTGAGAATGTCATCTATCTGAAACTCTGGAGAATAGTTTCCAGTCAGTGAGGACAATACTGAACTAGGAGGTCCAATGGTCTGTCTTGGTAAAAAGCAACTCCCAAAGTTTCTATTTAAACCAGACCTTTAGCTGGAACAATGAATGCAGGAATCTTTTTTCTTTCCTAGAGGAAGGGCCATTACTCACTGGCAGAACATACGTTTTGCATTCGTTCCCTGGAATCTGCAGATTGGGCTGGGAAAGAATCTCTCATTTAAACCCTGGAAAGCCTCAGTCGGTCAGAGGAGACAATACTGAACTAGATGGATGAATTGTAAGGCAGCTTCCTATATTATTACTTTCTTCATCTGTTAAATCTTCCATGAAGAACAAATGTATGCAATAAATACTGTACTTCCCTTATGCTGACTTCTGGTTTTTTTAATCTTCCTGATTGAATTTTTGCTAAGGTTACATTGCTGGGGAAATCTGAAAAACATTCCATGGAATGCTATCATGTGTCTCAAACCCAATGCATCATGAATGCTAAATTTGTACTTTACAATGAGGAAAGCTGGATTTGCACAACTTGTGATAGAATAAGATTCTCTCACCATCACCACCACCCAGGAAAACAAAAATGTCAATAATAATAAGAAGAAGAAGAAGAAGAAGAAGAAGAAGAAGAAGACAGTATATTATTTATACCCCGCCCACCTGGCTGAGTTTCCCCAGCCACTCTGGGTGGCTCCCAATCGAGTGTTAAAAACAATACAGCATTAAATATTAAAAACTTCCCTAAACAGGGCTGCCTTCAGATGTCTTTTAAAGATAGGATAGCTGTTTATTTCCTTGACATCTGATGGGAGGGCATTCCACAGGGCGGGCGCCACTACCGAGAAGGCCCTGTGCCCGGCGTACAGCTTCCGGGTCATGTGGCCAGCATGACTAAGCCGCTTCTGGCAAACCAGAGCAGCGCATGGAAACACAGTTTACCTTCCCGCTGGAGCAGTATCTATTTATCTACTTGCGCTTTGACGTGCTTTCGAACTGCTAGGTTGGCAGGAGCAGCAACCGAGCAATGGGAGCTCACACCGTCACGGGGATTCGAACGGCTGACCTTTTGATCGGCAAGTCCTAGGCTCTGTGGTTTAACCCACAGCGCCACCCGCGTTCAGCTGAACCCTCTAAGCAGTGCAAAAAAAAGAAGAAGCAAGCACGTAAAAACAAGATAATAACATACATGCACACATTTGACTTACCAAAGTCTCTGTGGAGTACAAATGGAGAGAAGGCGATCAAGTCAAGGAAAGCTGTTGGGATATCTCAGCCCAGGGAGCCCTTTTATACTCTTTTGACTGTATCCCCTGATGGCCCCACAGCTAGTTGGGATACACCCCCTTTCCCTGAGGCTTTAATTAGCAAGAAATTTATGAATTACATCATGCCCTCTAATTGTTTTAATAAGAAAGAAAAACGGGGCAAAAGAGTTCGCATTTCCTCTGCTCCCCACAAAGCTTCTTTCCCATTCTCACCCTTTTGATCTTTGCATTCTCATTCTTCCACCAAAGGACTTAATAAAAAATTAAGAAAATGTAAAGATGCCTTTGTATGTTCATTTCGGACAGATCAACAGGTGCTATGGCTTTGAAGAGAATTAAAGTAACTGGAATGGCTGGAGATTTTATCAGCAGCCTACTTGACTTCCATATCCAAGATTTCGGCTTATGATTCCGTTCACAGTACATAGCCAGGGTTCTCTGCCTCAAATGCCTCTGAATACCTGTTGTTGGGAATCAGAATTGGGGGATGGGACATTGAGTTCCTGTCCTTCTTGTGGGATTCCTACTGGCATCAAGTTGACCACTGTGAGAACAGAATCTTCCTAATGCTCTAACCTTCGTTGATGCAAGGATGCCATATACACATGTATGAATAAGTGTACCCAATAAAGCGAAAATGATTTTGAAGCGTTAGCAAAAATTCACAATTATTTGAAGCCCACCTCCCAAATAAAACGATTGAAGAAATAAAAGGATAATGTAGGCAGGGATGATAGGAAACCCCTGGAGGGCCACTTTCCCCAGCACTGTACTAGACCTATGTCCCAACCAATCAGGGATCACATATTAAATTCACTTGTAATATTAGCAGCCCCTGGTTTCCTGAATTTCTAGCCCACCAGTAACTTGCAATGTCAACTTGGCTAACACAATGCAAGGGTAAAATTTAATGATGATGTTTTAAAAATCCCTCAATAGCCTCCTGTTTCTATTCATCTTTGAGATCAGCAAGGGAAATCCTATCAACTGTTACATCAATATGCGAGAGCAGGTGGGCAGATCGAAGAGTTGGTGCCTTCATGGTGATCAGTTGAGATCTGCTGGTATCCATCTATCTCCACTTACTGAAATGCTAAGGTTATTTTCAACTAGCCCATGTTAGACCTATTGAAAGCAATGGACAGGGGATGCCAGGAAACAGGGAATTATGTTCACATGCGGTGGGAGTGTAAATATGTACAATTTTTTTTTGGCAAAGGGTTTTTAAGGAGATAACAGAAATCACTGGGTTACAGCTGACCAAAAGTCTAGAGGTAGCATTATTATCAATTTACAATGGAGTGGAAGATTCACAGGCTATGAAGGACTTGCTCACAAATTTATTGACAGCTGCATGAATTATTATAGCTAAGAAGTGAAAGGGGCAAGCAGAATATAAAATGGAATAATGGTATAAAGAGGTGTGGGATATAGCTGTTAAAGATAAATTAACATGTGCCATTGAGGTAAGATGGGAAATATGCAAGGGAAATTATTTTTGAGGAGATATGGAGGGTGTTTGTAGAACTTGTACTGTTAAAACGGAAAAGGGACAAACCATCGTAAGAGGTGTTGAATTTTTGGGAGGCTGGATAGTTACAATGGGATGGTATCAGTGGTGGGGTGCACATTTTTATTCTTAGTTATTTATTATTATTACTTTTTTAAAAAGAAGAAGAAGAAAGCAATGGACAAGTCATTCAACACCGTGCATTTTGATGGAACTTTCCTGAGAATGAGTTTATTGGATGCAACTCATCATAATTTCAGCTATGTTTGGGTGTGGCTTGTCGCTCATACATTAGCATGTTCTAAACTACAGATTCTGAATACATTTCATACGTTTTCTAGGCTTCCCTATATGCAAGTTTTAATTGCCTTTCTAAGCTGCCTTTTTAGAAAGAAAAAAAGTAGTGTTTTCTTTTTAGTTTCCACTTGGTACTGATTTTATATATCTGGTTTAAATGCTTAACATAGTTTGGTCGGTGTGGGTTTTTTTTAACCACAGGCACCATCTTCTATTGAAGTTGGGACAGCCTCCTCCCACCTCTGCCACCCAGAAGACCACTCCAGATTAACTCTAGATTTTTGCCAGGCTGAAGGAAACATCTCTGACCTCCTAGGACAAGTGAAGAAGATAACATGTAATGAGCCCTGAAGCTGGATCAAACCAAAGGCCCATGTTGTCCAGCATCCTTTTTCCTGCAGTGGTCAACTAGATGCAGTGGTCAACATAGGGACCATAGCTCTTTCTCACTATTGTTCTCTTCCGAGTGGCATTGGCGCTCTCGGGTCCCAATTGTGAGTTCTCCATTGAGGCATCTGGTTCTGCACTGTGAATACAAGATGCTGAATTAGATGGGCCTTTGACCTCATCCAGCAGGGCTTTTCTGATGTGCTCAAGGCATTCAAGGACACTGATTTCATCTGATACCGGAGATGTCTCAGAAGGTGTATGCAGAAAGCTTTGATCATGTCCTCGAGTTCCCTACACTGATGAAAGAGCTTTGATGATCTCCATCTCCTCCCTCTGGGTGTTTCTGATTTAAAACGGCAGATAAACTAGAGCAATTTGACTTGAGGTCAGCAAAATTAAAAGGAAGGGAGAGGGGAACAAACTGGTGTCAAGACTATTTGTGTTGCATTATTGCAACCACTTAATTTTGTCACTTCCCTCTTTTGTGCTTAGTAAAGTATTTTGCACATGAAATTGTTGACAACTAAATAAAATGTTTTCTGGAAAGAGGCGGTCTCTTGGTCACAGGAGTGGTTGACAGAACTGTATAAAAACGGAAAATTCTCCCAGTTCCTCCAACAGCTTCATCTGACTCTCTTGTCTTCGTTCCATCTTCTCAAAGAAGCAGGTAAGTTCATTTTCTTGGGGGAATGTTTCTGAATTTATCAAAAAATTCACATCAAATTAAGACTAGATGGATTTTCCAGCTTCACACTTTGTAAGTGCATTTAATATGATATTGCTAGAAGAAACTCTAATTAAGCATTTTTAAAGACAGCTGGAAGGTTCCACCAGCTTTCCATCTTCTTCCTTCCTTCTTAAATGATATTTAGACAAATATACACACTTCTGTGTTTTACAGCACAAAACTGCGTTTAACTCAGAAGTAAACCCGAATGTGTTGTGCTTACTCTCTGGTAAAAATATAAAGGATGGTTGTCTTTTTCAAACTCATCCCCAACTTGCTGGACAATGGTATACTGTGGTCCAGTATGTTCAAGATACATGTTGATAGCATTGTTGATAAAACATGCCTTTTCTTAAAAGAACCTTACTGGGTTATCTCATCATTTTCTTATATTTCAGAACATCAGTACTGGGGGTAGCCAGCATAGCACCTTCTAGATGTTGTGGGTTAAAATGCCAAGAAAGGGGGTCATTCCTTAGTGATACAGCCCATGCTTTGCATGCACAAGGTCCCAGGATCAGTCCCCTACAACTCTAGGTGGGGCCAGTAATGTCCCCTGTCTGGAACCCAGGAGAGTCATTGGCAATCAGTGTAGATCATGGGTAGGCAAACTAAGGCCCAGGGGCTGGATCCGGCCCAATCACCGTCTAAATCCAGCCCACGGATGGTCCAGAATCAGCATGTTTTTTACATGAGTAGAATGTGTCCTTTTATTTAAAATGCATCTCTGGGTTATTTGTGGAGCATAGGAATTCATTTATTTATTTTTTCAAAATATAGTCCAGTCCCCCACAAGGTCTGAGGGACAGTGGACTGGCCCCCTGCTGAAAAAGCTTGCTGACCCCTGGTGTAGACAATATTGACAACAAAGCCCACATTTAGTATATGGCAGCTAATCTTGTTCTCATCACCTTGAACTGTTGTTCAGGCTAGATGAGTCTCATGGGCATTGAAGTCCACGATATTAGGGCAGGCATCACTTTGATTCCCCTTGATCTGCACCATATCTGAAACTTTTTCATTCTTTGCCTTTCGTGGTCCATTTTCAACTCCGTTCTGCAATTTTATGTTGTGTTTTCTTTTGGATATAATTTTTAATTCCATTTTCTGTTTCACAATTTCAGATAAAGATTTTACGTACTTAAAATATCAGTGACTTTCTGTCAGGGACTGGACTGAGAAGGAATGGTGGAGACCACCCCCTTTCCTCCTGAAACTTCCAGAGAAGAGGGAGAAAGCATAGAATTACAACAGTGGTTTGTGGGAGGTCATAGCTCAGAGGCTTCAGAGGGGAGAAGCTGGGAAATATTGGGAGAGGAGCAGGAACAAGGAGTAGCATGAAGGGAGAGACAGCTGACAGACTGAGTGTCTTTAGAATGCATCCCAGACCCTTCCCTCTCCCAGAACCAGGCAGGCATTGAAGGTAGAAGAGCAGAGAGCTCAGAGGCAGAAGGCATAGAGAAGCCACCATAGGGAAGACGGAGGGGGTGGGGTTTTCACTCGGAGCAACGTCCTTACTCTAAGAAGCAACATTTGTAAGCCTCTCTCTGTGAACATTGAATAAAATACCTTGGTAAGAACCCCCATTGTTCAGCCCCCCACTGAGGTCCAGCGCCGAGGGCCTTCTGGCGGTTCCCTCATTGCGAGAAGTGAGGCTACAGGGAACCAGACAGAGGGCCTTCTCGGTAGTGGCACCCGCCCTGCAGAACGCCCTCCCTTCAGATGTGAAGGAACTAAGTAGCTATCCTATCTTTAAAAGACATCTGAAGGCAGCCCAGTTTAGGGAAGTTTTTAATATTTAATGCTGTATTGTTTTTAACACTTGATTGGGAGCCACCCAGAGTGGCTGGGGAAACTCAGCCAGATGGGCAGGGTATAAATAAATTATTATTATTATTATTATTATTATTATTATTATTATTGGCAGCCTGCCACAAGGGAGAGGGATCAGATTCCCTGAAGCCTGACACTTCACTTCTTCTCTTTCCATGGTTCATTTTGCATATCTTGTATCCCTGCATATTTTACAAAAACTATACCAATCGGTTTTCCATTATTACATCCATCAAAAATTATTTGCACTGTTGAATTTATCTTCATGCTGCCAGAGTTTTCAGCTGTACACATGCAATTTTATTTTTTAGATTCATCTTCAGCCATGGCTCACTGTGGCCCATCCTGTGCCGTCCCATCCTGTGCTTCCACCCCCACCGTTGGATTTGGATCTGCAGCTCTTGGTAGACGTGGAGGTCTTGGCTACGGATTGGGAGGTCTCAGCTACGGCAATGGAGGTCTCGGCTACAGCTATGGAGGTCTCGGCTACGGCTATGGAGGTGCTGAGAGAGCAGCCAATCTCGGTGTCCTGGACGGAGTCATCCCTTCATGTGTTAACCAGATCCCACCAGCAGAGGTCGTCATCCAGCCACCTCCCAGTGTCCTGACCATCCCAGGGCCCATCCTCTCTGCCAGCTGTGAGCCTCTGTCTGTTGGAGGCAACACTCCATGTGCTGTTAGTGGTTCTGGAATCGTAGGGGGTTATGGCTATGGTGGGTGGGGCTATGGGTCTGGCCTCCTTGGAAGCTCTGGGGGCTGGGGCTATGGTTTGGGCTATGGGAGGGGAGCACTCCTTGGAAGGAAGGTCGGGCGTCGTGGTAGCATCTGTTCTTAGGCCAATTAAACCTAAGAAGCATATCCTGAACTGATATCCAGGGAACTTGATACCGATCCATTCGCCAAGGTTTAGAAGACCTGCATCCAAGCAAACCGCTGCTGAAGTTGAACCCTCTTAATTCCCCCCTCTGTATTATGAAGTCGAGAAGACCAAGAACCTTCTACAATATGCACCTTTTTTGCCTATTGTACAACTATCCTTTCTTTTTCTTTGACCTTTTCAATAAAGCTTGTTCTGCATTCTGATAACCTGTGTGTCTTTGTTTTTAAAACTCCACCTCCAGTTTCTCATAGCAACGTGTCCAAGGTCTTAAACCCGTTTTGGTCCAAATTAAAATTGGAGTATTGGGGGCCGTCTTTCTCTCTTGCACCCTGAAGGGTTTACATGGAGTGTGGGAAAAGTATGTTATATTCCTCTAGAAATACCATTCTCCTCTTATTCAACATGAGTACAGGATCTCTCTCCAGGGCACCCTGACTGGTTATTCATTCAGAGAAACAACTCATAGTCAGGGGTCAAATGCAACTTTTGCTGATCGGTCAAATGCAACTTTTGCTAAAGGACCAGGAAGGATGGGTTAAATAGGTGCAAGGAAGCAGTTGTGCCCCTTCTCCTGATTCCTCTTTGCTGTCACTCCTGTCTTCCACTGCCTCCCGCAGTTTGGTCAAACTCATGCTGGTAGCTTCGAGAACACTGTCCAACCATCTCGTCCTCTCTCGTCCCCTTCTCCTTGTGCCCTCTATGTTTCCCAACATCAGGGTCTTTTCCAGGGAGTCTTCTCATCTCATGAGGTGGCCAAAGTATTGGAGCCTCAGCTTCAGGATCTGTCCTTCCAGTGAGCACTCAGGGCTGATTTCCTTCAGAATGGATAGGTTTGATCTTCTTGCAGTCCATGGGACTCTCAAGAGTCTCCTCCAGCACCATAATTCAAAAGCATCAATTCTTCAGTGATCAGCCTTCTTTATGGTCCAGCTCTCACTTCCCTACATCATTACTGAGAAGTATATAATAATAAATACTTAGCTAAGAAAAAGAAAAGGGGGAAAGAAAGGAGGGAGATAAAAAAGCATACCTTTAAATAAACTTTCTTATTTTAAAAATAAATTCATATCTATAGATACTCAAAAAACAAATAGCCATCTATATTAATATGAAAAAATATCTGTGGAAATCAATGTGGAGGAGCAGAAAATATAAATTTCATACTTCGATTAATCACAGACATATTACCAGCTCTCGGTGTGTGTGTGTGTGTAAAGTAATTCCAAATTCATAAATTAAGCTCCCACCCTAATTAAACACTAAATACAGTAAACCAGGCGAAAAGTATTAGATCAAAGAGAAAAATTATATGGAGGAGTGTTTTCTTCAACTTTCTTATCCCCCCAAAAATATTTTAAATGTCCATCTTCTAACTATTTTCCCCCCTCCTTGCTGGCCAACAAGAACTCTTCTCTGACAAGTTGCTGCAGTCAAAATGGCAGCTTGGAACTTCCTCATTTTTCCAATTTTGATGCCTTGGCAGAGCCTTGACATGACATGACTTCTGGTGCTTCATAAGGACCTGGAAGTCATGTCAGAGGCCTTGCAGTGCAGGTGCTTAGCACCCACAACAATGTTTTGTGGGTGTCCTGGCCCCCAAGAGTTGGTGCCAGTGCCTGGATGCTTTCCTTTGTTCTCTGGATCTCTCCCTTCCCTGCCTCTTACTCCGAGTCCTTCACCAACAATCCATCACTTTAATGTGTGTGTAATTCTTGGGTCCCAATCATGGCCCATAGCTGAGGACACCAAGGAAAACAAAAGGGGGCTGGGAGCCAGGAAAGAATATAAAAAGAAGAAAAGAGGAAAGAAAGAAGAAAGAGAAAGGCACTTCCAATTTTCCATCTGCCAGTTACATAACAGAAATTATTCAAAATATTCCCTCCAAGAAAGCGTGTTCTCCTTCATGGAGAGCACGTGTCGCGGTGGGGGCCGACAGGATGCTCCAAAGTTGTGGGGCGGGCTAATTGATCTTCGGCTACTGTTGTGATTGGGCTTCCCTTGTTGTTGGGAAGATATTAATGTTGCCATTTGATGATTGACAGCCAGGAATGTTAAAATTCCCTGCACGAGGCGTAGAGCTTCCTCTTTTTGCTCTGCGCATCGGACTGCCCGTCCCCCCTCCCTATATTTAGAGTTGTTCTCTTTGACCTTGCTATGCCTGTCATGGGGTCGTCTGCTCTTGGGGCAGGGGCCTGGTAGGAATTTTGTCCATCTGGCTGATTGGCTGGGGCCATTTGGTTTTTGCCTACTGTGTAGCAAATCGTCACAACTTGTAAGGTTGCAGTTAGGCATTGGTTTATGGTTTGGTTGGTTGAGGGGCATGGATTGGCTGTGCCTGCCCCTCTAATGCTGCTGCTGCAAGGGATTCCGTTAAAGGAATACAGGGGCTCACTATTGCTTTTGTCCGAACCCTGTCAAGGGGCTAGGGCCATGCAAGAGCCCCTGGTTGCATTTGGGGAAGGCTGAGGGCAGGTTCCCTGCTCTGTTGCTACCCCCAAATGTATTCCCCTTTTCTGACTTTCACAGGCTTTCAAAATGTCAGTCTGTCCCCCACTGGGGGGCAGATAGTCGCAACCAATGCCTAAGCAACCACACACATTTTTTGTATTTTAATAAAGTTGTGGCCAAAACTATGCCAAAAAACCTTAAACAAAAATTCTGTGTGTTGTGTGAGTTATTTGGGGTGGCCTGGGGACATCGACACGCAAAACACCCAGCTGTTCTACTTCCTGCTAAGCAATATTTTCCCAATCCCCAGATTCTATAGTTTCAATATATGCTTTTTGCGCTAAGTAAACAATTCCTGGTAAAAGGTTTCTGCAATTTCTCGCATCTTTATCCTTATATTTACCAGTAATTGATGGAATAAACATTTGGATCTGTTTATCTTTCAGATGTTTTGATAGTGATTTAGATGGTTTATTGAGGTATTTCAACCATCTTTGATTTTTTTTACAGTTGGCAAAGCATTCCAGTTTTTAGGCTTGGATATTTTGAATGCTCTCTGTTGTTCTTAACTTCATACACCATGTTTGCTTATGCTAATGTGTCTTTTCTTAATATTTTACACCATTTTTTTCTGCTTGAGAGAATCTCTTATACATCTCTGCTGCTGCTATTTTTGTTTTGTCAGAACACCTCTGATGTAAGATTCACTTGCATCCCATATATGGCCATGGTGTTTAGGCACTTTAAAAAACCAATCTAAATATTGTTTTATTTGTGTCTTTCAATCTCCTCTTACTGATAAACTGTTATTTATTCTCTAGAATTTACTATTACAATTATTTGGCATTTTGATGTTCAATAATCCCTTAATGTTGGAGTATAAAACCTCCAAACATCTGTCAAATTTTTGTTGGCAAACATGCCTTGAGACACATTCCAGTTTTAATTTAGACAAAAAGTCGCTTCAGTCAGCTGGACGGCTTGCTGTGAGTAACTGAGGCCAAGTGTTGCAAAAACCAACACACATGGGTTACTGTAATGCGCCAAAAGCTTTATTGAAAAGATTCAAGAAATGACATTGATAGCTGTATGAGAAATACAGAAGAAATTTAGCATATAAGCATCTTAGTTTTCTGGACTTCAAAGCGAAGAGGTGGGGGATGAAGAGGGTTCAACTGGGATTGGATCCTGGGATTTAGCTCTTTTGAACCACGCCCAATGGATCTGTATCAAGCTCTCTGATTATCAGTTCATAATATGCTTCTCAGGTTTAATTGGCTTATGCACAGATGTTACCACGACGCCCGAACTTCCTTCCAAGGAGTGCTCCCCTCCCGTAGCCCAAACCATAGCCGAAACCTCCAGAGCTTCCAAGGAGGCCAGACCCAAAGCCCAAGCCCCCATAGCCATAGCCTCCTACGATCCCGGAACCACCAACGGCACATGGAGTGTTGCCTCCAACAGCCACAGGCTCACAGCTGGCAGAGAGGATGGCCCCTGGGATGGTCACAACGGAGGCAGGTGGCTGGATCACAACTTCTGCTGGTGGGATTTGGTTGATGCAGGATGGGATAACTCCTGCCAGGACTCCGAGGTTGGCTGCTCTTTCAGCACCTCCATATCCATAGCCGAGACCACCATATCCGTAGCCGAATCCTCCATTTCCATAGCCGAGACCTCCCAATCCATGGCCGAGACCAAGACCTCCTGCTGATCCAAACCCAACAGTGGGGGTGGAAGCACAGGATGGGACAGCACAGGATGGACCACAGTCAACCATTGTTGGGTGGAGGTGAGTCTGAAACCAAAAAGACCAAGGTAACACAGTAAGCCATGGCTGAAGATGAATCTAAAAAATAAGGTTGCAGAACCGAGCAGAACATGGGGCATGAAAACCAAAAAATAACAGAGAATTATAAATCGTCAGATATGATGTATATGAAGGAGGCCCAGTGTTGCATGCTTCAACTCCCACCAGATGTAGACAGAACGTCCTATGGTCAAGGATCATGACAATTGTAGTTCAACAACAATTGGAAGCCCAGTACTTATTCTCTACTCTCCGACACATGTTCCAACCAATTAGGGTTCACATATTATAGGTTTATTGTCCAAACTCCATCTGTGAGGTTTTGTCTTCTTCCCAAAGATTACTACTTTAATTTTAGAATGATTGACTGTTCACTGTTCTTTTGTGCAAAAGACATTCAACTTCCTCAAAAGTCTCTGCATCCCAATTAAGGTAGCAGAAATCAAAACAATATCATTGGCATACAGAAGAACTGAGGGTTTGACATCCTGAATAGAAACAGGAAAATATTCTAGGCCTCTTAGTTCTTGAACAATATCATTTATATAAAAATTGAAAAGAAAGTATGCTAGGCAGCATCCCTGTCAGACTCCCCTCTCAGTAGGGATATTATCAGAGAGCAACCCATTTGCCACAAGTCTAACCCTAAACAAAGTATGGGTATGCAGCAGTTTACACAACTATGAAGTAGGTATGATGAACTGTAGTCCTCCGGTTGTCACTGGACTTTAGTCAGCAAGCCCAAAGGTCACGAGTGACCAAAGGTCAAGGACCAAAGGATGCTCATCCTTGCTCTAGTGGGAATATCAATCTAGCCTTCCACTGTCATAAACCTCTGATAAATTACGAAGTATTTCCCCAAGAAATCGGACTTACCTGCTTCTTTGAGAAGATGTAGTGAAGACAGAAGAGTCAGATGAAGCTGTTGGAGGAAAGGAGAGAACTCTGAGCTTTTATATAGTTCTGCCAGCTGCCCCTTTGACTCAGAAACCGCCTATTTCCTGCAAACATTTTACTTAGCTGTCAACAATGCAATATGCAAAATTACTTTGCTAAGCACAAAAGAGGGAGGTCACAAAATTAAGTGGTTGCAATAATGCAACACAAATAGTCTTGACACCATGTTTTTCCCTCACTCATTCTTTTAATGTTGCTGGCCTCAAGTCAAATTGCTCTAATTTATCTGTTGCTTTTAACCAGAAACACCCAGAGGGAGAGGATGGAGATTAAGGCGCCTTCATCAGCTCTGGGGACTCTCAGTCATTATCAAAGCTTTTTGCATACATATATGGGATTTTAGGACACCACCAATATTAGAGGAAGGCAGAGTCTTAAAATGATGTAAAAACATGGGAGAAGCTTTGCTGCATCAGGGAAAAGACCCATCTAACCCTGTTCTTGTAATGGCCAGACAGATGGCAAAAACAGGACCTGCGAACAATAGCAGGAAAGCGCTATGGCCCTAGTCTTCTACTTGTGGAATAACCAAGAAGCATCTGGTTGGCCACTGTGGAAAAGATGATGCCTTTGCTCTAAAAAAAATTAAGCAAACAAACTAGAACTATAAACTCCAGGCAGATACATTGGTCCCTTGGTTCTCGAACGTAATCCATTCCGGAAGTCTGTTAGACTTCCAAAATGTTCAAAAACCAAGGCACAGCTTCTGATTGGTGCAGGTGCCTTGGAAACAATAGCCGACAACCGCACTGGGCGTTCAGCTTCCAAAAAAAGTTCCCAAACCAATGCACTTACTTCCGGGTTTGCGGCGTTCGGGTTCCAATTTGTTCATCAACTAAGCCATTCGAGAACCAAGGTTCTACTGTATATAAAATAAGTATAGTACATTTTAAAAATCTGAAACCAAAGGAAGGCACTGTTGTTGGCATCTGCTCATCTTGAGAGACAATGGAGTGCGCCTACAGGGGTTAAGTCAGTTAAGTGTGTTAGCAGCACTGAAGTGATCTCCCTGGGGCAAAAGCCTGGGCAGTGGGCATGGAGGTCCTGGCCAACGGCCAAATGAAAGTAGATCAATACGTTTGGCACCAGCTTGGCTGCATGAGTTGCTGGAAGGCAGCTTACAAGGCCCCATCCAACTGTCTTCGGGACTGTACTCCAGATTTGTGTAGTGTTTACTTGTTAGCCATTTCTTCATCTGAAGATATCCTCCAAGACAGCAGAGGTTTAGGATCAGAGTTTTTCCTTATCCTTGATGAGCTACCTTCCCACGTTGACAAGCACCATCTGCCCCACACTTCCCTATACAACTCATGCAGAAACCACTTTCTTGATTGTTGGGCCCACTATTGGTCTCGTTAGCTCAATCCAAGCAGGGAAAGTCCCTAGCTCACCAAGGGTTTGAGGCCTATTGGCTACCCTCACGGTTTAGGGGGACAGTCGAAGCTGCTCCTGGGGTGTGGCCAATGTCTCATGCTGCCAGCTTCTGGGAGCCATCGGTGAGATTTGAGTGCAGGGTAGGGACCAAAGGTGGGCAAATTATCCGAAAAGAAGCATGCTGTGTCCCCAAACAGAGGGACTATCCCTCCCTTAACACCCTGAACACCCAAAAAGAATGCTATTATTATTATTATTATTATTATTATTATTATTATTCCCAAGTCGTTCTTCTGGGCAGCTCCCAGTCTGACAAAACATGACAAAACATCAAACATTAAAAACTTTCATATATATATATATATATACACACACACACACACACACACACACACACACAGGTATATGAAAGTTTTTAATGTTTTATACACACAGAGAGAGAGAGAGAGAGAGAGAGAGAGAGAGAGTGGTACCTCTGGTTAAGAACTTAATTCGTTCTGGAGGTCCGTTCTTAACCTGAAACTGGTCTTAACCTGAGGTACCACTTTAGCTAATGGGGACTCCCGCTGCCACCGCACAATTTCTGTTCTCATCCTGAAGCAAAGTTCTTAACCCGAGGTACTATTTCTGGGTTAGTGGAGTCTGTAACCTCTAACATCTGTAACCTGAAGCATCTGTAATCCAAGGTACCACTGTATATACGCTTAACAAGCAATTAGCAATCCCGTTTTCAGAAACCATTGAAACACTTTCATTTATTAGCAACAAATCACAAACACAGATAGCTGAAATGATTGTGATGGTGGATGTCATTCTTAGGTTGCATCCATCAAAATCAAGGGTGATGGCTGGCTTGTTCATTCTTTCAATAGGTCTACTCTCAGTATGGATAAACAACAGATCACCAAAAAGCTGCCATCTCTTCTATCGGCCCCATCTTGCATATTGATGCGACAGAGGATAGGATTTCTGATGCTTGTATAAGAATGAATATGGAAACAGGTGGCTATTCGGGAATTTTATTACATCTTAGTTAGGTTTTGCATTTTGTTGGCAACTTTGACATTATGAGTTGCAGAGAGATTGAAAATTCATGTAATCCGGGATGACTGATATAATAAGTGAATTTAATATTTGATCCCTTATTTACTGGCACCATTTTCTAGTACAGGGCTGCTAAATCTGAAGTTCTCCAGATGTTTTGCTTGATCACAACTCCCATCATCACTGGCTACATCAAACCTATTTCCCCCCCAAACGTTTTCTCACTAATGCTGTCAAATAATGTTGCTTTATTGGGTACCTGTATATATGATAACCTTGTGTCAATGAATATTAGAGCTTTACTTATACAGTTATTTTTTGAAACTGTATTTGAAGGGATCTCTTTTATTACAGGCAGGTGATGCAACTTGATTAAAAGCTAGCTTTACTTAATTTGTTAAAAGATGGCCATAAAAATTAAATGTGGAAGGATCTAGCAGTCTTTTTGTCTGCAGCTAGAAATTCATAAACACAATACTGTGACAAGGCTGAGATAGGTGGGATAGCAGGCTTGTGAGTTTTTGAATGTCTGATGTAGATCTTTTCCAATTTCGTTTTTCTGTATGGGACAATGACAATAAAGATTTTCGTATCGTATTGGAAAACAGCAACTAGTTTAGCTTCAGAAGCATGATGACTGTGGAACATAGCTCTTGTGGAGACACCAGTGAAGCATTTTAGAACACCAAGGAGCACAAAGACCAAAGACCATTTTGAAACTCTATGGTATATATTTACTCAACACAGTCGAAAGAACAATGTTGTTTCCTCACCACCAGCTACTCATTGCTCACTCTGGAACCATCAGTTAAGGCAAAGTGAAGATACAAGTGATAAAAACCAACTTTAAACGATGAGACTAACCTGCTTAATATTTAACAGCACGGTTTGCATTGCTAATATGTGGAATGTTTCTTGGAAGGTGGGGGTGCAAGAGGATTGTTTGTTTTGAAGAAGAAAAATCATAAAAAGAAATAAAAAGAAAAACCACATCTAGTCCAGCACCCTGTTCTCACTGTGCCCGACCAGATTCAATGAATAGCCCACAAGAAGAATGTGATTTCGATAGCCCTCTTCCCAATGGTTCCCACTGCAGTGGAGGTAGAGAACGATGGCAATGTGTTGTGGCTGGAAAGATCAACTGAAATCCTGGATGTGAAAGTCAAGTAGCCCACCCACAGCTACTTTAGCTATTTTGAAGAGAGAAAATGGGGACAACATATCTGTTGATCTGTCTGACAGAAAAGGAACATACAATCATTTCTTTTAACTTTGTTTTGCAGAGGAATTAAGAAGCCAAGATCAAAAGTGTCAGAGTGGGAGAGACGCGTTGTGGGAAGTTGAGGAAATGCTAACACTTTTGTCTCATTTTTCATTCTTATTAAAATAATTAGGGGGCCTGAGGCATATCACAAATTATTTGCTAATTCAAGCTTCAGAGGAACAGGGGGTGTATCCAAACCAATTTTGGGGCCATTAGGGGATTCAGTCAAAAGAGTATAAAAGGGTTCCCTGGGCTGAGATATCTCAACAGCTTCCCTGAACTTCATCTCCTTCTCTCCATTTCTACTCTTCTGAGACTTTGGTAAGTCACT